TTGTCTTTTTTTTTTGTTTAACTTTTCTTATTTGTTTTTTAATATTTCTGTTTTTAAAACATTTTTATTTTGTTTAAATATTTATGTTAGTTTTTTTTAACCATTTCCATTTTAAAAATTTCTTTTTAGATTTATTTTTGTTTCGTCTGCAATTTTAGTAATTTTGAGATTTTTGTTGAAATATTTATTTGTTTTTACATATTACTGATATTTTCATTTCAACATTTCATTCTGTATAGATTTTATTTAATGTAGTTTTGGGTTATTTTAATACTTCATCTTAAACTTGTTTATTTCATTTAGTTGCCAACTGCCAAGGCAATATTTCAAATTTTCAAAGTTCAAGATTTTCAAGTTTAAATTTTTCATCTAATATTTATATTTTATTTCATCTTTATTTCAGTTACTGAATGCTATTTTTAATAGTTTGTTTTAATTGACAAAAACAACACTGGTTCTGGACAGAAACTGATGAAAGTTGACTGACCAGCCAACTTTCACTCGCACACTTCAAGAAATAATTCATCCAAAAAATTTAAATTCTATTATTTACACCTTCGTGTCGTTCCAAACCCGTATGATTCTCATCAGAATGATGACTTCTGCTGCTGTTATGTGGCTCCTTGTCCAAGCTCCTGTGTGAATCTGAATTCTTCAATCTGTTGACAGATGAACTGCATTTCTGTACAGCTGATTGAAGCACTTCAGTGGGGCATGCTGGGATACCGGCTGACTCTCAAAGCTCTTATAATTTCTGTCTCTCCTTGCTTGAATTTAATGGGCTGTTTTACACCACGGCCGTACATTTCCAGATCCACGGCCCTGTGTAGCTTCCACTAATCTATTTTGTAGTTTTCCCTGAAGACCAACTTCCAGAATGATCCTCCTCAGTGGAGTGATGTTGACGAGTTTGTTAGAGATTTCAATAAATACAGCTGTTTTTGTACCAAAGCCTCATTTTTTTTCCATATTTGGTGTTTTGTTTCGCTCTGAAATATTGGGCGGTTCTTTTTATAATTTGTTGAAGTGTGTTGAAGTGTGCTAAAATACTCATTTAGCTCATTTTGGCTCGTTCTCAGTTTGTATTTCTAGTCAGATGTTTATGAGACATCCTTCTCTAATCATTTCCTGTGTATTTCCTCACGGGAGATCAAATATTTTATCGGTGGATTCATCCAGCAGTCATATGGGTGAATCTCACAAAGTCTGTCAAGAAATGTCTGGGTGATTTCAAAATCAAAGAAAGATATGAGACCATATTCATGTGAAGAAAATCAAGCCTATTTTTAGTTTTATTTATTTATTTTTGTGTTGTGCATAACGGGGTTAATGTCATTAACTAAAAAAAAAAAAAAAATGCTTTACTTGATATAAAATAAACATTAACTGTAAAATGTTAAAAAAAAAGTTTTTTTTTTTTTGTGTGTAAATTTCAGCTATAACTCAAACCTAAAAAAATGGTCTAAGGATTTCTGTTTGTGCTCAGATAATGATTTCTCTTTCCCTTGCTTGTGCTGTTTGTCACTGTATTAGTGGACTTTAAGTCGCCTTTCCTCCTGTTTAAACCCTTATATTGTTCAGTGCTGTAATCGGACAGACATTCTGTGCATTTATCATGAATGAATGCGTGTTCAGGCAGTGCTGGAGTTTGTGTTATTTCTCTCTCTATTGATTAGGACTTGGTGTTAATGACAGATTACAGCGGCGACACACAGAACAGGCCCAGGCTGAGCAGCTTGCACAAGTACAAAATGTTTCAGAAATGTACTATTTATATATCTTAAATGCATATCTGTTGGCCTCTAAATGAACTCCATACTTAATCTCATGAGACCTGTGCGTGAGTGTGCTGAGATGATCTTGCTAATGATTCACTCATGATACTTTACACACCTGCTAAAACTTCCTCCCAATCTTTTAACAATCAGTAGTTCTGAAGGGAATCAGTGCTTTTGTAATTAAAGCACCCTGAATAATCCCATCATTACTGTATTTCACACATTAAGAAAACTCAAGTAGCACTCAAATGTAAGATTAAAGGAACAGTTCACCCAAAAATTTAAATTTGCTGAAAATTGACTCGCTCTCAGACCATCCACAATTTTGAGTTTGCTTCTTCATGGGAGCAGATTTGGAGAAATGTAACACTACATCACTGTCTCAGCAATGGATGCTCTGCAGTGAATGGGTGCCGTCAGAATGAGAGTCCAAACAGTTGATAAAAACATCACAATAATCCACAAGTAATCAACACCACTCCCACGTGAAGCCAAAAGCTGTTTTCGAGATGTTTTTTTTTTTTTTACTTCAAACCCTTGTTTCCAGCCAAAATACAGGTCCATAATCCATAATAACGCTTCCTCAAGTGAAAAAGTCCATCTCCTGTTGTCCTTCACATCAAAATCCTCATATATAATTGTTTAGAGCTGTTTTGGACTGTTTTGGCTTGTAAGCTGTGCTTGATCTGTACAGATTTCTCTCCTGATTCAGACCAGATGGACTTTTCACTGGAGGAAGTACCGTATTGACCCGAATATAAGACGATGTTTTTTTCTTGGAAATACATCTGAAAAAACGCGGTCGTCTTATATTCGGGCCAATATGGTAATATTATGGATAGAGGTATTTTGGCCAGAAGTGACAGTTTAAAGTAAAAAAAGTATTAATGATGGATTTGTTTATTACAATCATGCAGCTTTTCACTCCATAAGATGTTAACTGATGGACTGGAGTAGGGTTGTGCCTATAGACGATAGTATAGTGTATCGACGATAGACCGAGATATCGCCTGTGGCTGATGCCTTTGACGATAGCAACTCCGTTGTTCAGCGCGCGCTGACTGAATTCTGATTTGCGAATTCTCTCATTATAAACAACAAAGTGCAGATGTACTTGCGATGTAAGTATAAGAGATTTATTCATCATAGTAGATTCACTGAGTTTAACGGGAGTGTTTTTAAAGTGCATAAACTCGCGCTAGACTGAGCTTGTGATGATGTCCTTTGGTAATGTAATGTTCTTTGCTCGTTTTCTGTAGCTGCTTTTTGAATAACCGAGGAAATGTAAGCATTATAATTAGTAACTTACGATGTTTCTATTAATTTGTTATCATGTTAAATACAAATTCAGTCATATTAAAAACATTAGGCTGCTTTTAGCCTTACGCTGGGGTTGGTTCTCTTTCTCGCAATGAAACTAAGTAAATAATTACATAAATTAGCGCGATAATATCGTGTATCGGCGATCTCACAGGCTGACGATAGGACGATATGAAAATTTAGCATATCGCCCAACACTAGACTGGAGTGCTGTGGATTACTTGTGGATTATTGTGATGTTTTTATCAGCTGTTCTGACTCTCATTCTGACGGCACCCATTCACTGCAGAGCATCCACTGGTGAGCAAGATTTCTCCAAATCTGATGAAGAAACAAACTCCCCTACATCTTGGATGGCCTGAGGGTGAGGATGAAATTTTCAGCAAATTTTTATTTCTGGGTGAACTATTCCTTTAAAGCTGGAATTTGACAGTACATCAAGTCAACAATTTGCATTCATGTGTGAACACCCTGCTACATCTCCCAATTTTTCACTTTCATTTGTTCTGTTTTGTTTGCCTTTTGTTGCACGCTATAGTGAAAAATAAATTGCCAGATCAGTTTGGTTCAACACATCTGTGCATTCACAAAAGTTCAAAGGTCCATCAGAAACTATTTCACAACAGCCTGTTTGCCCTCTCAGGTTAAATAACCACTGAGCCATGTGCTTTTATGTAAAGTTTAATTACAAACATATTTTTATCACTGCTTTATTTAAATCCTCGTAACACAGGAGTGTGTTATTATCCCATATTATACATTCTGCATTGGCTTGTAGACGCGGCACTCAATCCGGTCTGGTCTACCCAGGTTATTTTACCCAGAATAATCCAAAGGCACTGCAAAACTGTGCTTAAGATTAGTAGTACTACTATAACATTTACCTTTTACTAGGTAAGAACCATCGCTATTAGAATGTAACACAAAATAGTATTCTAACAGCAATAGAACACTTCAGGACTCTTATTCCAGCAATGTCCATCTGTTAAAATATGATTTAACAAAACTCATTTACAGTTGATTCTCGGCACACAGGCCATGTGCTTTTTATGAATGTTACTGTAAACCTGCAGCTATATGTCATTAGAGATTCATTGTGCTTCATGAATATGCATGTTCTTATTAAAAAAGACATTTTGAAAGCATTTTAGATTTCACCAAAAACCTTCTAAAAAAGAAAAACATTAAGGACCCTTCAATTTCGTTATTCAGAGTTTCTGCAGGTTTTATGAAGATAAATGTAAGACTTTAAAGAAAAAAAATTAAAGGAATAAACTGAATGGAACACAATACTTTAATATGGTCTCTAAATATAAATGTCTTGTATTAGTGCAAATGTCTAAAGATTTTCATATCAAGATACATTTATTAGAGAAGCAAAATAACTAAAGTCTTGTTTTCTGAGAAATTGATTAAAACGAACAAGTATCTGCTAGTAGGCTTAGACAAATCAACTAGATTCAAATGGAAAAGTTTTCATTCGCCATTGACAGATGTTTGTTCTTGTTGTAGTCAAACTCGCTTATTTTTGTTAGATTTCTCAGAAAACAAGACTTCATATGTTCAGTTTGCATCTCAAGAAAGTATATCTTGATTTAAAGATGTTCAGATATTTGTATTAGAAATACAAGACAAAATACTGAGGAAGATACTCATTTGTCTTGTGCATCCAACATTTATGTTATGAATTTAAGACTATCTGCTCTGATTTAAGACCTTTTTAGGCCTTGAGAAGGGCGAATTAAGACCTTTTAAAACCTGCAGAAACCCTGGTTAATACTTGGAGATGAGCTGGAGAATTACAGTGTATATTCACAGTATATAATCACATATGCAATCAGAGTCTGTCATAAGGCATTAGTTCACTTCGCAAGACAAAATACTGAGGAAGATACTCATTTGTCCTGTGCATCCAACATTTATGTTATGAATTTAAGACCTTTTTAGGCCTTGAGAAGGGCGAATTAAGACCTTTTAAAACCTGCAGAAACCCTGGTTAATACTTGGAGATGAGCTGGAGAATTACAGTGTATATTCACAGTATATAATCACATATGCAATCAGAGTCTGTCATAAGGCATTAGTTCACTTCATCTTTTTCGTCTCGAGTCCATCAGAGTTCAGGTGCTTTGGAATTGTGCTTTTCCCTGAAATAGCAGGGATCACTTTGTCAAAAAGCAGCAGAGAGCCTGTCATACCTGTAAGATAAACAGCATGAAGAACACATAGAACTGTATTTTTCTTGCTGTTATTAATAAATACTATGAGTTTTCATGCACACACGTGCTTTATGATTGTAGGTTTGGCTTGTGAGCAAATAAACACTGAGAAATACATGTGGTGCTTAAATGATTCTCAGACATTTTGCTGAGTAGTTAGTGTTGTTCATGATTTTCCTCTGGCACTAAAGATACTTTATTGATTGGCCTTTTGTTATACTTGTTTGACAGGATACACGTGTTTTCCTAACAAAAATAACAATTATTAAATTACAGAACAGTCTCTGAAGGATTTCTTCAAAGGTCAAAGTGAATGTTGTAATACTAATGCTCACCCAGTATTGGTCCAATCCAGTACACAAAACTGTACTCCGCAAAAGTGTTCCCAGGACAGGGGAACTGTATTGAGAACGCCAGTGCCGGGTTAAACACCGCGCCAGTGAGATGACCACCTTCACACAATACAGTACAGAATGAACGAAAGATAGAACGAACAATAGCAAAGAATGATGATAGACAGACAGATAGATAAAAATATGATAGAATGAACGATAGCAAAAAATGGTGATAGATAGATAGATATATAGGATGAACGATAGAAAAAATTATAGATATACAAACAGATAGACCGATAGATAGAATGAACGATAGAAAATAAAGATAGATAGATAGAATGAACGATAGAAAATAAAGATAGATAGATAGAATGAACGATAGAAAAATAAAGATAGATAGATAGAATGAACGATAGAAAAATAAAGATAGATAGAATGAACGATAGAAAAATATAGACTAATATGGTGATGACAGCAGCTATTGCAGGAACGCGATAGTTCTCTTCCACCTTCTCCACGTTAAACGCCGCAGTGTGCATCACAAACGCGCAGCCCAGCTCCACCGCGGCGGCCTGCAGCAGAGGCGCGTTAACGGGGCTGTTCGTGCATGAAAAGCCCGTCAGCGAGTGCTGCGCGTGCAGGTCAGAGAGCGCCAGCGCCCACGCGTGAGGCATGACGCGCCGCGCCGCCTCCGCCGCGATCAGCTGGCATGAGATCCGCGTCAGTGCGCATCGCCGCGTCAGAGTCCCGAGGTAGAGCTGCTCCAGAGCGCCGGTCGGGCTACAGATCGCGCCGCGGAATGAAAGTCCGTGGACCACCGAGATGAGGAACGTGAGCGTCAGCGCGATCCGCGGCTCCAGTCCGCCCGTCTCCGCGAGCAGCTTTAACTCGTGCGTGCATGCACACAGCTGAAAAGTGGAGATCAACTCGAGCGCATAGATGATCCAGTTTCGATTTGGGAATAGATATAAAGCCGTTCTCCTCGCCACTTCGCTAAAAACTACAATCCCCAGCAGCAAGGACAGGGAGACGGTGAGATCGGCCATCTCTGCCATCGCATGATCCTCCGAATAATCGTGTTAAACTCTGATCCAGTTTTAGGCAACTTTACAACGACCACGCCTCCGCGCCAATAGCCCCGCTCACTTCGATTCAATCAGTGCAACCCACTATTGCAAAAAGCTTGGCTCATGAATATTAAATAGATTATGCTAGAGACTTCCTGGAGTGTCTATAATAAAAACTATAATCAGTGTTGGGAAGGTTACTTTGCTACAAGTTGCCCTATTTAAAATGTAATAAGTAGTGTAACTATTTCAATTACTTTAAAGTAATGTAACTAATTACATTTGATTACTTTTCTAAATTTCTAGCAAATGTTTTTTAACTGTTATTCATTTTCAAACTTTTAAAGCAGGCCAGGTTATCCTTACAGTATAGAACTCAACACTGATGTCAGACTTTGAATATTGCAAGTCACTATGAGTCGCTATTCTTATGAGTCTGGGCAAAACCAAAAAGTTATTATATCATTATAGTATCAAAGTTCAAAAAGGAAATGTATTTGATATGATACGTAAACAGATATGCATGTACATAATATCTAATAAATCAAAAAATAAATATAATGTGCATAATTCTCTCTTCAAAAAGTTGCCTTCTGCCTTCTGGCCAGAACAGTCAGGCACTATATTTCAGGCTATATTCAGCCTGAAAATTAAAACATTCATAACTATACATTGTCCAACACAACTGACATATTTATACATAGAATCTGAAAATTGTACATTTGTAAACTACACACTTGTAAATAACATATGCACATTCATTTAAACTTTTGTTAAAAATTATGTTTTCCCTATATTTCTGTATATAGTGCATTATTTAATTTTCTGTTTTTCTTATATTAGTGTTATCGTAAATAACATATGTACATTCATTTAAACAATTATGTTTTCCCTATATTTCTACTTCTGTATATAGTGCATTATTTAATTTTCTGTTTTTCTTATATTAGTGTTATATTCCATTTCTACTGAGTTATTCCTATGTATGTCTGCACTATCATGTATGTCGCACTATGTCTGTACTTTCTTCTGCACTGGAAGCTCCTGTCGTCAAGTCAAATTCCTTGTGTGTGTGTAAACATACTTGCTTATAAAGCTCTTTCTGACTAATAGCTAATGAATCAAAAATCTAAATTGTTAATTTAGCTATTTTGATGAAATATTGTATATATTATCCCTAATAATAAAAAACAAACAAAGCAATTATTAAACATTTACAGGTGCTTCATCACCTTTAACAGTGGTAATCCTCAACATTGGCTGGTCTGTTATCTGTTAATTACCTGCAGAGGGCGCTGAGATACTTTAGTAATAATATAATAATAATAAGAGTTTCCATGACATCATTAGAGATGAACCTAGTAATCTATATATTAACACCAGTGTTGGGCAGTAACTAGTTACTAGTAACTTAGTTACTGGAATAATATTACTTTTTGCAGTAACTAGTAGTGCAACTAATTACTAAGCCTACATAATGAAATTGTAATCGTATATGGGTAACGGAGAAATTACAATTAGCTTCAAGCTACACATGACAATTAATGAGATTAATACAACACTTCTACTTGAATGTCACTATCAATCACTATTGAGTGTTTGTAATAACTTCTGACTGCGATCCAATGTGGATTTTGGTGAAATGATGAGGCAGAAATATGTTGTTAGTAACATTCTAGAAGAATTTTATGTGGAAGATACACAGTTACAACTTCTGTGGGGCCTGAAGAAAAAGTAATGTAACTAGTAGTGTAACTAATTACTGTTAACAATATTACTTTAGAAAGGAGTAACTAGTAATGAGTAATATATTACATTCTTTGAGTAACTAGCCCAACACTGATTAACACACACACACACACACATATATTTGTTGTCATTTTTATCTGATAAAAATTAAGTTCATAGTAATATAATACATATTAACACTGACTGTTAAAACTACAGTAAAACAGTATTATTGTGAAATATTATTACAGAATTGTTTGTTGTCAACACACAATTCTGTAATAATATTTCACAATAATAATGTTATATAATACTGTATTTTTAATATATCCTTTGAATATACCCTTATTCTGTCTGTCTATCTATCTATCTATCTATCTATCTGTCTGTCTGTCTGTCTATCTTTCTATCTGTCTGTCTGTCTGTCTCTATCTTTCTATCTGTCTGTCTGTCTGTCTGTCTCTATCTTTCTGTCTGTCTGTCTGTCTATCTGTCTCTATCTTTCTATCTGTCTATCTGTCTGTCTATCTTTCTATCTGTCTGTCTGTCTGTCTGTCTCTATCTTTCTGTCTGTCTATCTGTCTCTATCTTTCTATCTGTCTGTCTGTCTCTATCTTTCTATCTGTCTGTCTGTCTGTCTCTCTATCTTTCTATCTGTCTGTCTGTCTGTGTCAAGGCCGCATCCCTGTTATTTCTAAGGCAGATATGTAGGGTTGTATGATGAGATATCAGGCATGTGGTGTCTTTAATATCGCATGTTCCTCCTCCACTGGCGCAGGTGACGCGTCTCGTGAGCGCAGCGCTGAGTGGGGAGTTGTGTCCAGTGGGATCGCGCGTGGGCGGCGATTCACGCAGCAGGTTTGTGTGCGTCTCTACAGCAGCAGCGGCGAGACAGACTGACGGAGCGGAGAACACTGGAGCTAATGAGCGCGGAGAGCCGCTGAATGCGTGACAGAGAGAGGGAGAGTCTGCGCGGGGAAATCACATTCGCGTCTTTGGACAGAGGTGAGTGCGTGCCGCCTGCTCTTTACCGCTGTGACGCGCCGCAGCCGCGTTCAGCGGGATCTTGCGTGACGCGGAGACGCACTGGCTGGCGTGGGGCGCGTGTCTGTGGAGCGCAGACAGAGGAAGAGCTGCTTATTCATCAAAGACAGCACTCGGATGTGGATGTGGCTTTATCAGCAGGAATCGCTCTGATTATAGTGATTCTTCTCCGCGTTTATGTGGTTTGAGATCAAATAACAGCGTCTGAGTTACATGTGCCTCCAACACAAGGTATGCTCGCTTTCTATTCAATCTAACAGCATCCAAATCATATAATAATGACATCGATCGTTGTGTAATATTTCTAATATTCACCATGTGTAATGTTATATTAAAACAATTACAATAATGTAAATGTTTAATAAAACAATAATACATATTAATATATAAATGTGACGTATTCTATTATTATTAGTAGTAGTAGTAGTACATTAATATTTTTTCAATAATAACGTTAATAATGTCTGTGTAATACTTGTATTTGAATATGAATTTAGTTTTATTTGACAAATAATAAAATCAGTCATATTAATGCCATATTATTATTGTTTTTATTACTATTATTTACTTTTGTTATTAGTTAAATATTAATGGTAATACTGGTTGTAATATTTATTCTTTAATATATCATTTTATATATGTAAAATATATAATATATTTTAATATGAATTTAAAATGTTTTATTTGACAAATATATGATATGTAATTAGAGTACTATTTCATTTAGCTTTTTCGTTTAATTAAATATAAAATATATTCGATATGTGTTAATAATGAATATTAAATATAAACATTGCACAATTTATTATTTTGATTAATAGTTTTCATTATTATTATTATTATTATTATCATCATAAGGCATGCATCTATTATTGTGTGTTTCCATTTTTGGAGTTGTTTACAAATTTATTTACGACATTATGAATATTGTTGACTCTTTGATGAATTGCTTATGTTTTTTGGATAACAGCACCTGCAAAATACATAAATTTAAATGTTAAAATATTACTTAACAGTTACCCAACAGTCTGAAAATGCTCATTCAGTATTTACACTGCTGGGTGTGTAAAGCAGCTCTTGACTGTCACTGTGTTCAGACTGGACCAATGAGAAATCCATAATCAAAAAATAATACAGCATTGCTTATTGCTAATGGATGTTGTATTACATTTTGGAAAAGATTAGCCAAGAATCTAAAAATATTCAGTTCTACTGGGTGAACTGACATTGGCAGATTCAGGTTTTCCAGGGTGTTTGGTTCTTATTGGATCCTTTGGATTGTGTCCAAATTATGGTCTAAATACCATTAGCATTCCTTCAGGATTTTCGAACCTTTTCAGTGGTTGAACTAAATTGGGCTAGAGTGCGTTTGGCTTCTTTGCATGGAATATAATGAAAATAAAACATGTGGGCTCTTAATATTCTGAAGCTTTTACAAGTGTGTTTATTAAGAAGCATAAATTCAGAATGAAGTCTTTAGGGTTATTCGTGTGGTTTTATTGCAGTGCTGTTGTTAATGTGTTTTCATTACGGATGGTGGATCTGTGTGACATGCTGTAGATGATAGTGTAAGTGTAAGATAAGAGCAGCGGGCAGTGGTTCAGTTCGCTTTGGACTGATTTGGGTCACATGTATCAGCAAAATCCTTAAACCAGTTAAGTCAAGCGCGTGTTTCTTCCGGGATATTGCACCAGGCTCTGATATCTGTTAATGACCTGCAGAACATACCTCACACATGCGCTTAAAAGGTAACGAGGAAACGACAGACGGCTCTAATGCATCACTTCTCCAATCTTTCACTTCTGTACCAACCATGTGGCTTTAAATCAGTCTCCGATATAGTTTGTGGAGGGTTTTCATTCTCACAACATTGTCGTCATCGTTCAAGGGTATTTTTAGCAGTGAGATTGCATCATTGTGTTGCATGTTTTTTTTAAACGCTTATCGGTCTAATTTGGTCTAGTGTGATGTAAGCATTTTTGCATGGGTCTCTAATTCCTTGAAGGTGCATGCAGGTCTGTGGATCTGTAGATGGCAGTCAGATTAATTTATTGGGGGTTTGTGCTGTCAGAGTGAAGTGGGGGTCGGTGATTGTGAAGTAAGCACACCCTTGGGCCACACATCACCATATGGTTTCATTAACACCCTGTTTATCATCCCAAAACACGGGACAAAAACCCAACCACCCCCTCACACACCCTCCAGATGTGTGTTTGGCCCAGAGACACTGCTGTGACTTCATGCTCATTGTTATGTGAGTGTGTCAGACTCTACTTTATGATCGTTCCAGATTTGGCATTTTACAGTCACAAATGATAAGC